TCCCTCCCGGATACCGGGCCGAGGATGTCCCCAGTGTCAAGCCGGAGGACCTTGAAGACGTCGATCCGAACGAAGATATGGGTTCACGCCTTCTGGCACGCCTGTCAGCACATACAAATAGTGCCATCGCAGCCAGTCTCACACATTGTCTAGAGCTTTTGGGCGGCCACAGATTCAAATCTCGAACAGATGTGCTTCCAAGGCGCAGCACAGATCGCTATGTCAATCAGCGAGCAAGACGCTTTGCAACTTTTGAGGCAAAGGGGTGCCATTACTCGAGAGATGAGATATTCTACATTCGTGTTGGTATTGACAGAATATCCTGCAGATCTGCCATCATCGTATCAAACTCGGATGTTTTCAGCACCTCACCCTCAAGTTTGCCGGCCAGAAGTGATGTATACGCATTTCCCAGCAGCGAAGTGGCACTCACTGTTACCGATGAAGCTCGGGCCTTCTTGTCCACAACTCTAGCTGTTCAGGATACAGTGATGTTGGAGAAACATGTTCAGCTGCTTTCGGATCTATTCGGTGAAGAGGAGGCGATCAACTTGTCCACCGTCTGCAAATTTGCAGAGGCAACAGAAGGCAGTGTCATGACAGAAGCAGCATATTTTGAATTTGACGATGCTGCGTACAGGACCAACAGGCGGTAGGAAGAGGTATGTAAGCTGAGGGATACGGCTTCATCGAAGTCGCTTGATCTGGAAGCTGAGAAATCTGGAATTGTCTATGTTGCGTACGTTCGTGCACACTTTGTTTCTTCCATGAGACTGTTCACTAATAAATTGCTATTTTTTTTTCACAGTCTTCAAGGAGAAGGATTGATTGGCACGCTCGTCAATGGCGCAGGCCTTGCAATGGACGCGGTGTGACATGATTGCAGAGGCCGTCGTTGGATATTTGTCGCTTCACTACCCCTGACTCTGAAGCCCCTTTTTCTCTTTGAAGCGTCGTATATATTGACCAACAGCGCAATGTTCAGCGGACAAAACACCGAGATAGTCCAGTCGGCGGGCTGGCAGAATGGTAATGCGTAGCTCTCCTATGATTGGTCCATCACCACATAGGTCCAAGCTAAGCTAAGATTGTGGGTTCGAGTCCCACGTCCGTCGCTTTTTTTGTGAGTTTTTGATATCTGATATCCACCGTCCACTCCTATATCAGCGCCGCCATCCCCGTCATCTTCACTGACACAGACCGACCCATGGCTGTCCTGTCGATTGGTGAGGTGAATGTTGAGGCGATCAGACGAAGCCGAGGATCAATCCTCCTTGGCAGACTGGGACCGCGTGCTTCGTATCGTGTCTGCAACTACATACGGAGTCGAGCACGAACCAACTGGCTAAGTCCCGAGAACGGCCCTCTTTTTGGATCTCGCAACTCCATTTCTTCAAGCCACCTTCCGCTGAGGAGAATTGGTGACCAGTATTCCCGTTTCAGAGCTCAACAATGTTCCAACCTCGAAAGTTCCCAAACATCTCTGGGTTGCGGTTGCAGCTGTTCAACGCCCCGGCTACCGTGGTCCGGAGCAGACAGCTTCTTCCTCTCCGTGCGGCCGTCGTATTTGCGCCAGATGCATACGGGTAAGGGACAGTGCACCTCACCGAGACAGGCAACAAGCATTCTGATTACGGTCTCTCTGGTCTGACGTTTTGGGAGCACCGCCCCGGTAGATACCACCACTCCTTCTCGACTCTTCGACGGCAAGCCGATATAAGAGCCAGACAGAACCGCTGCTATTCCTCGCAAGCACCAAGTCCATCTCAGCCGAAGAGACCATCTTTAATCAGACGAGCGATCGGATTCACCTTTCTTGCTATTTTCGCATCCTGTATAGGCCTGGCAGCCAGTTCAGCACCAGTCAAAATGCAAGCAGTCATTGAAGACATCGAAACGAAGAGCGAAGTTGAACAGCTCAACGCCAAGTTTTACGCAGAGGCAGACGAGTTCGTCAGAGGCATTGAAGACACGATCAACGCGCACCCGCTTGTCAAGGAGCTACGAGCAGATCCCAGATACACCGAGTCACGACCGCATCTTGATATTCCTGAAGAGATCCGCGCGCATAACTTGACCGCCGCAACCCTAGCAGGACCGGACAAGATCACCGTACCCCCTTACGTTTTCAGCGAAGAAGGCGGAAAGAGCTTGGTGTCAGTGAGTCATCTTGGCACCTCTATCTCAGGACATCCGGACATCGTGCATGGCGGCTTGCTCGCAACGATGCTTGACGAGGGACTTGCTCGCTGCTGCTTCCCTGCCCTGCCGAATAAAGTGGGCGTTACCGCGAACTTGAATATCGATTACAGGAGGCCGGCACCGGCTGGATCATATTTTGTGCTTCGTGCCACAACAACGAAGGCCGAGGGCCGAAAAGCATACGTGGAGGGACGCATAGAGAGCTTGCCGGAAGAAGGAAAGGAGCCTGTGGTGTATGTGGAGGCCAAGGCATTGTTCATTGAGCCGAAGAATGCGGATGTACGTTGAACCCCTTATTCCAAAAATGCGTCAACCTGGCTAACGTCGTTCTGCAGAAAATCCCCAAGATCTATAAGGTCGCCTAATCGCCGGAGGAGGATACTACGGAATACATAGTATCTTGAAAATCTAAGTCACCTTTTGATCCATTCTCTTTCTGCGCGCGATCAGCCCCTTTGTTGTGATATACCACGTATGCCCGCAGACTATCTACCATGATCGAACTGTTCTGGATCGTTCCGAGAATTGAGTACATGCCTAGCCCATACAATATATACAAAGAGTGTCTTCTTCAGTAGTACAGGATACACATCTCTGTCGTTGCAGCTACATCTAGTATAAAGCGGATCGAGCGTTCTGGGGTGGATCCCGTGAAGTCAATCTCCCTCGCCCAGACAAGGCGCCGTAACATCATCGCTGGACATCATCATCATCCCTGTTCTTTGAATTGAGTGCTTCTGGCGACAGCCTC